TCCTGTCTCAGAGGCCCTGGGAGCTCCATCCTGAGTAGCCAGTCCTCTTCCTGCTCAAGCAGAAACCCGAGAGGGGGTCTGTTTAGCCATGGCGCATCCCCTCCTTTGACCTGTGTAAATGCTACAGCACTCAATAAAGTGGACTCTGACAGCTGCCTCCCTCTTTCCTGGCGCCAACATTATCCTTCGCAGCCAGTCTTGGCCTTGTGCTCTCAACACTCCTGGTCACCTCACAGCCCTCTGCCCAGAGCCAAATCTATCATCTGGTCTTGTGATTTTCTCTCAGAAGTGCTTTGAAGGTTTCCTACATTTTGAGATAGTTTGTTTATAAATAAGGATCAAGAGCATTATGTAACAATTCATGGTCTAAAATACAAATGTGAATTTAAATACTTTTATTGATAGGAATCTGTTTCCTGTTTTATATTTTGAGGATCTGCAAAACTTTTATTCAAAAAAGGATTAAATGGTGGGGAAAACTTGTCTTCAACTCGTGACCAAGCCAACCCACTTCACAGTTAAGATGAGGGGTAGGGAAGGAGCTGGCTCAACCTGGGGGCCGATTGCCTACCTCCCATTAGCCTTCAGACCAGAAGCCTCAGCCCCAGTGGCTTGCTGTCTTGCTTAAGGGAGCAAGGGTATTTGCCTGCAGGGTGGGATGACCCTGAGCTCAAGCCAGGGGGCTCCAGCCTGCAGACCGTGTGGGCAGATGCCATGGTGTGGAGACGGGTGAGACCAGGATCAGAGACAGTAAGGTGACCCTACAGTGCAGTGAAGTGGACTCATATCCCAGCCAGGTCACAGCTAGCATCCCAGGGCTCGTCCACCTCCACACTGGATTCCCAAGTGGCTTATTGTCTTCTCTGGGCAGTCAGTGGGTCATAAGCGCTAAGACCCTGAGGACTCAAGCCCCTGCCCTTTGACCACTTCTAGCCCCACCCTCTTTCCCTTGAAGAAGGAAGCCAGGCAAGAGAGCAGAGGCCCAGGGCAGGGGAGTGAAAGGGCCAATTTAATGAGAAACTACAAACTGAGAGCAGCCATGATTCACAGTGACAGGAGGCCATGCAGTGGCAGTGCGAGACGAGGAGAGGGGCGGCGGGTACAGCGGTCCACGTGATCAAGTTCACAGACAAACCAGGAAATACAGTGTGGGCTCAGGCCCAGGGCAGGTGTCCACCAGGGCACTTCCGCCACGTGTGGCTGCTCCTTCCTCATCCCCAGCCTGTCCTAGTCCAGTGCCACAGCTGCTCCTGCTGCAGTACCTGCTGCTGAAACAAGCACAGTGACAGCAAGTCAGCCAGGAGAAGGGGCCCAGCGTTTACTGGGAAGAGGATCCATGAACGCACTGCAAATCTGAGCGTGTTTGCGAAGCGGTCCCTGTCCCCTCCAGTCCTGGCCGGGCTACGCCAGCCCCTGGGCAAAGGTCTTGCTCACACACAGCAAGGATGTGGTATAGGCAGATGAGCTAGGCTCCTGGGCGTTCCTTCTGGCACTAGCAAAGATGGGTTTGTGGAGGGGTGGCCAGAAAGGGAGCTGGGCAGGGGCCAGAGGCAAGTCCCTTCTTGGCAAGCTTACCCCGTTACTTGCAGGTGTGCTAACCTCTCTACCTTACCCCAGGTGACTCCTGGGCACTTGGAAAAGGTGTTGAGTTTCTGAGTTCTGAGGGCCAGAGTCATTCCTTCTAATACTCATGCCCACCTCTGGCACCCCAAAACAGAGCCAGGCCTTATGTCCCTGTCCTGCTTGGGTCCACTCCCCCACTCTCAGCCCAGCAGATCAGAAATAACCGTGGCTACAGATACAGCCCCAGTGCAGGCCCCAGTTCTGCTCTGGCTGCTTTTGGTCCCAGGGAGAGTCAGGACCAAATCTATACTTTGTACAGAAGAGGAATGAGAGAGACCCCAGCAGGGAGACTGTGCGAGGAGACCCTTCCCAGTTTATCTTCCTCATCACAAACACCAAGCAAACCAGCAACATGCGGCTCAGTGCCATCCCCCTGCCACTCGCTGACCCTTGGCCTTAAATCCAACAGAATTTTTGCCGAAGAGTCAGATGCTCAGGGAAGGGCAAGCCAAAAAGGACAGGACTTCCAGGGGACCGGTGGAACGGCTTCCATCCCCAAATGGGAGCGGGGAAGCGAGCCACTGAGCAAGGGGAGCAGAAGCACAGGGGGCCAGACTGACAGCAGGGAGTCCAGTCCCGGCTCCGTTAGCACAGGCGCTTGTACGTGTAGATGTAGGCTTTGCAGCTGGGGCACGTGTGCGTCACGTCCTTGAAATCGTTGATGAGGCAAGGGATCAAGCAGCAGCCCAGATCACACCTGAATCAGAGACCGGGAAGACAGGGAGGTCAGAGGAGAAGGCATTGAGGGCACCCAAGGCACCCAAGCTTACTCCTGCCCCTACCCTCTAGGCGCCCACACCACCTACCCCATGAAGCAGCAGAAGAAGCCCAGCACAAAGTTCATCAGGCCAATCTCATAGGAGATCTTGGTGGTGATGGCCTGCTGGCAGTGGGGACATACCGTCTGTACAGGCGCACCTTCAAAGATCTCTCCCTGCAGCACCGTCACCGTGGTGGCGGCCCCTGAAGGAACTAGGACTGTGGCAGTGTGGCCCCCAGGGCCAGGATAGGGCCCTGGCGGATAGGGCCCTGGTGGATAGTAGCCCATGGGTGGGTGGGGGCCTGGAGGAGGGTAGAAACCTGAAATGGCACAGAAAACAGAACAAAGACGTGGCTGGCTTGCCACCTGCCCCACGTGAGAGGTAAGCACAAGGCCCCAAGGACCCCAGGACACAAAATGAGGCCTCAGGGACCAGGTCCTGGGCCAAGGTGACCATGACAGTCTCCCAGCCCTTCCTGGTCCCGACCCTGTGAGCACCAGGACAGAGCAGCTACTTGTTCCAGCCAGACGTGGCAGAGCTGGGAGAAGGCCTCATCTCTCCTTGGTCTCCACCTCATGTGTGTGCTCCCTGCCTCTGGCACAAAGGGGACGGGGCGCTGTGTCCCACAGGAGGGAAAGCCTCGCCACACACCAGCCCAAGCCCCTCTCACGCACACAGGGCTCTCCTTCCCACCAGCGTCAGATCCTGCACTGAAATACCTGGGGCCGCCTGTGCAAGAGCCCTGGGACTTTCTCCAGCCTGAGGAGTCCTTCTGGAGAACTGCTGGGTGAGCAGGAGCCCAGACCTCCACCAGACTCCACGCCCTGGCAGGGAGAGGCCCCTGCAGCACCCATGAGTCAGTACCTCTCACAGGCCTGAGGAGCCTTCCCAGGAGCTAACCCTACCCCCAGCAGGGCCCAGGGCTCACATGGTTTGCCCACAATACCTGCACAGCAGCGCCTTGCTCTAGGACACTTGTGCCCCACCCCTCAATCGTCCACACTGAGAGGCAGCCCCCCCCCCCGCCCCTTACTAGAGAACACACGGCAGGCAGACCACCTGCCTACACCAAAGGGTGGATGGCAGCCCAGATAACACACTGGGTGCTGGGCAGGGCAGACCCTGTGCTCCCCTATCCTACTTACCTGGAGGCATGTACGTGCCGTCTGCATTTCATGAGGGGATGGAAGCCGGGCTGAGGCATCGCGTGACCTGGTGGCTCATAGGGTGGGGGGACCACGATGTCTGCAGAGGGCATCGACATGCCTAGTGGGGGCTGCATCACAGCTGGGGAGGTGCGGCCTGGACAGAGAAGGGCAGGAAGAGGGAGCTCAGAGGGCAGTGGCTGCAGAGTCAGGCACCAGCTTCTAGGAGCTGGGACCATCAGGGGCACTGAGCCCTACCTGGGTGAGGTGGGGCTCCACTCTTCCTCCCCTCAGAAGGGGGCCGTGGGGCCTCCAGGATAAGGAGGGGGTGGCTCGTTGGACATCTCTGCTGTTTCTCCTGGGCCTGGAACAAAAACCCAGACGTGAACCAAGCTCCCAGCCTCTGCATGCTGGTCGTTCGCCATTACATGACCGTCCTGAACCCAAGCTTTACAGCCTCCGTGAGTGCCCACAGGTGTGCCCTGCCCCTTGCAGTTCGAGTCTATTTTACTCCTCCACATAAATCTCCATGCTCTGGGTGAGGACAGGGCTTATGGACTAGGGCTAATTCCTTCAGGAAAGGGGTTTGGAGTCAGTGGGCTCCCTCTAGGCCCTGGAGATGCCCCACCATTGCCAAGGATATGCCAGGCCCAAAGCCACCATCCTGCACCATCACCCATGCCCCTGTATCCGAGCCAGAGGGCAAGGGTGCCCTGTGAGGGCAGAACATGGTAAGGCAGACCCTCCCTCCCTCCCTCACGGCAGCAAGCTGCCCTCCCGTGCTAGGAGCACCTCATTGGCTTGCCTGTAAGGAGAGGGATCTGGGAGACTTGTTACCTCGAATCCCAGGCAGTCAGAAGGGGAAGCAGGAGAGGCTCCTTCCACTGCCACGCAGACACGCAGGCCTCTGGGGAGCTGTTGGGGGAACTGGGGAAAGCGGGCCTCAGCCACACTCCCTCCCCCATTTGGGGCTGGTTCCGCCCCTCCCAGCACAGCACCCTCCCACTTGCCCACCCACTCAGGTCCCCTTCCTCTCCGCTTCTGGTCCCAAGTCCCTCCCCAGCAGGCTCAGACTGGCCCCCACAGACCCGCAGCCACTGCAGGAAGAAATGAGAACAGGCGTCTCCCTACTCCCCAGCTCTCCCAGCCGCTGTGCATGCGGCACAGAGGCCCTTGTGCTTGTTGAGGATGGGTAGGAAAGAAGATGCAGAGTGAAACATTTCCCTCACTTCTTTCCCTCCCAAGGCTCCCTGAGCACCTGCTGCTAGGCCCTAGGGAGAAACGGGAAACCTGGGGCCTTCCTGCCCTGGGTTGGCATCCTGTCTCCTTCAGCAAGGCCCTTCCTTTTCACTGTGCCCAGCATAGAAGGCTAGAAATTAGCATTTTGAAGTAGGGCTTCATGTTTTTTTAAGTGAAGTAAAATAATAGGAACTAACTCTCAACAGGACAGAGAGACATGCAGTGAAACCATCTCTGTCCTAGAGGCCCACGAGTGAGGTTCAGAGCCACATGGGGATGAAGGGCCCCAGACGACCCTACGGGGGGCAGAGGGAGCCTGGAGCCTCGTTAAATTTCACACATCAGTGGCAGGGCCTGAGAGACCAAGTCCAAGCAGCAAAAGAAATAAAATGGGTATCAGTAAAATTAAAAGCTTGGGTTTCAAGGGCACCACCAAGAAAGTGGAGAGACTGCACACGGCACAGATTTTTACACATCCTCTACCTGCTAGAGAACTTGTATTTACAATATCTATATAAAGAACTCTAACTCATTAACAAAAAAACCCCATTAAAAAATGGCAAAGGATCTGAATACACATTTCTCCAAAGATAAAAACAAATGTTCAATGAATACATGAGAAGCTGAACACCTAGCCAAAAGGAAATGCAAGTCAAAACCACAATGAGGTACCATTTCTTGTTACCACAACGAGAAAGTAACAAGTATTATGTAGAGAAACTGGAACCCCCACACTGCTGGGGGTGGGGCACACGAAAGCACAGCACCTTTACACTGCCTGGTGGTTCTTCAAAAGGTTAATACAGTTAATTACCACATGACCCAGGTGATTCCCCTCCCAGGTGTGTATACAGGAGAACGGGGAAAACACACAGAAACTTGTACACAAATGTTCACAGCAGCATTCTTCATAGTAGCCAAAAAACGTACGCAACTGACAGCATCCAACCACTGATAGGTCGATAGCACAACTGTACATGTGCTGATGTGTGCCCACGGTGGAATGCTACAACCTGGATGAACCTGGAAAACAGGCCGCTCAGTGAAAGAGACCAGACACAAAAGGCTACATACGGTGTGATTCCTTACATCCAGAACCGGCCAATCCAGACACAAGAATCCTATTCATGGGTGTCAGGGCTTAGGAGGGTGGGGGTGGGCAGAGAGTGATGAATACGGAGTTTCCTTTTGGTTTCCTTGCCAACTCTGGTAGTAATGATGGTTGCAAAATATATTAAAAACCAGTGAATTGGGGCGCCTGGGTAGCTCAGTCGGTTAAGCCTGTGACTCTGGATTTCAGCTCAGATCATGATCTCACAGTTCTAGAGTTCGAGCCCCTATCAGGCTCCACACTGACAATGCAGAGCCTGCTTAGGGTTATTTCTCTCTCCCTCTCTCTACCCCTCCCCAGCTCAAGCTTGTGCTCTCTCAAAATAAAGAAAATTTTAAAAATACAAGAGTGAACCGCACACATTAAATGGGGAAATCATATGATATTTGATTATGTCAACAAAACATTAAAAAAAAATTGCCTGATCTCACGCAGCCAGTCTCTCTGTATATCCCTGCCTGTCTTATGCACAGTCACCCATATTTTTATATAGTTGCTGGTGTGACGGTTTTAATATGTATCACGTGTATTTTCTCCATCTTACAAGACACCACGACCATCAATTTTAATATTCCCTAAAATGGGCCCATCACGGTTTACCAACCCTTATTAAGGCATTTAGAAGGCTTCTTGTTACTTTCAGGAAAAAAAAAAAAAAAAAAGAGAGTGAGACAGAAAACCTTTGGCTAACACTCTTTCATTTTCTTGGGTTATTTCCTTTGGTCAAACCTGCCAGAAGTGAGATTATTAGGTCCAAGGGTATGGCCACTTTGTGCTTTTTGGGAAGGATGATGGCAACTTACAGTACAAACTTTGGATACTACTGTTAATTGCTAATGTGTAATGTTAAAATGACAACTTGGTTACTTACTTCTTTGACCACTATGAAGCAGAACATCTCCCAAGAGTTTATATATTATGACCTGTTCTTTTGAGTTGCTACTTCTAATAATCCTTTAAAGACATGGAAACCAAGAAAAGATGGGGACTTATCCAAGGTCATGTGGCATATAAGAAGAGGAGGAGACTTATCTGAGGTCACATGGCATATAAGAGGTAGAGTCAAGTCTAGGACCCTGGCACGACTCTCCCACCAACCAACCCTGCCTGCAGGAGAATTTCAATAGTGCACGGTCAAGAAAGGGAGGCCACAGAGTCTCTAAAGGGCATCACACGAGGTCTGCTTAGGCAGGACTGGAATGTGTGTGCTGGGCCTGGGGATTCTTACCAGCCCACCAGGCGCCCTCCCGACGGCAGGAAAAGGCAGCTTTCCTTAAGAGACTTGACTTGCGTCGGCGGAACACTCTGTATTACGCTAAGTCTCTCTGATATGGGCCAATACCTGCCTTAAACTCCTATCCTACAACCATCTGGGATGCCCCTGAGGTGGCACCACTGTCTATCTCCAGGTCCCAGCTCACCAGGGACCCGGCCAGGAAGAAGAGCTTCTCGGGTTCTGGGAGAGAGGAACCAGCCTGGGTCTTCCAGGCACCCCCGTGTCCCGGGGCCACATGCGCACTTGTGTCACCTCTGAAGACACAAGAGTGGCCTGCCTTTTCACCATCATCACTAGATCTAATTCCATGGTTTCTGAGAGCACGAGATTCTGCTTCTGGAGTTCCACTATCATAATGATGGCACGAGCCCGCCACACAGGGCAAGGCCCTCCCCTGGTACCCACCCGACTGAGTTGACCGCTGTTCCTAGAGCAGGCACAGCTGCCAGCCACATGGACACCTGCAGTGTGCACAGGGACACTGCCACTCAGGCCACAGACCGTACCACCACCTGCCTCCATGCCTCCCTTGCACAGCAGGGCTCTGTTGCTCCCCTGTCTCACTGCCTTACCCCTACTCCCTCCCCTCCCCTCTACATCCAAACCGAACCATCTTCCAGCTGCCTTCTGTAACTGTGTCCTGTGGCAGAGACTGGGGTAGGCCCCTTCGGTATGGAAAAAGGTTTCTGAAAAACGGATCATCAACTTTTCTGGAATTCAATCTCCACCCCCCAGCGCCTCCCAATATAAAACCAATGTGCATGCCACAAAACTGCATCATGTGAGGTGTAATAAAAACTGTAAGACTGCTATGATCTTTAAAAAAAAAAAAAAAACCCAACCCACATGTCCAAAAGCACAAGTTTTCCAATAAAAATGCACACTGCTCAAATTAAGCTACAAATGCAAACGTGTAATCTGAGATCACACCCTGGTCGGAGCATGTATCACCAGAGGCTAGGGAAGGCCACCAGACCCCGTCCCCATCGGTTTGCAGTTCCCAACAGAAGAGGGGGGGTCTGGGGGCCAGGAGTCCTGGGAGCTCAGTGAAGTCAACATGCAGTCCCGGAAACCCAAGACTGGCCTCTCAGTCTCCCAGTTCGGTCCCCAGCAGCGCACAGGTGTGAGGGCAGAGAGATGGGGCACCCAGGACACCAGGACTCCATACGGGAGCAGAGGTGCCCTCCATGAGCCAAAGCACATCACACAAGAAGGATGATTCTTTTTGTTAAGTTTGTTTATCTGAGAGACAGAGTGAGTGAGCAGGGGAGAGGCAGAGAGGAAGAGAGAGAATCCCAAGCAGGCTCTGTGTTGTCAGCATGGAGCCAGATGCGGAGCTCAATCTCACAAACCGTGAGATCACGACCTGAGCTGAAACCAAGAGTCAGACGCTTAACCAACTGAGCCACCCAGGTGCCCCCCAAAAAGGACAACTCTTAAACGAAGTGGTCATGTCACAGAGTCACAGTGCAGGCACCCCAGTCAGGGGCACGCCCCATGTAGGCTTCAAGGGCAGTGTACTCCAGGAACACAGACCCCCCACACCTTGCACAACCTCAGAAGTCCAAGAGATGTTCCTGAGTGAGGACCTGGTGAGGCAGTCTCTGGACACTCCTGGGGTGTTTGCTATGGGTGCTAACCTGTCCCCCTCAGTCCCACGGGGAAGCCCTCCTACCACCCCCACCTTGAGAAAGTAAGCACGCTCCTGTCACACCTAG